GCACTCCCAGTAATCCGTGAAGCTCCCCCTCCCCTTCCTCGCTCACCCGGTTCCCGCCAAAACTCCTCCTCGAGTTTGGCGGGCGCGGGAAAGTAGTCGATTTCGGTGGGCGATGGTTGCCTCCTCAACTTGGATAGGTGGTTGACGGACCGTCCCACTGTCCAAACACTCGACCGTTTAGGTGGCTGTGTGTGGCGGTGGACTGTCAAAGGCCAGGTCGCTGACGGTAAACACTGGCAAAGCCGGGAGGCTGTCAGGGGAGAGATGAGAGGTGTAGGAGAGGACGATTCCAGCACAGATTTGAGGATTAGTCGAGTGACAAGGTAAACTCTTGTTGCTGATTCTACGTTCTGCCCCATTTTTCCCTGCCCCCCTCCCCCAATATCTCTCTCTCTCTATCTCTCTCTCTCTATCTCTCTCTCTTCTATCTCTCTCTCTCTCTCTTCTATCTCTCTCTTCTATCTCTCTCTCTCTTCTATCTCTCTCTCTCTCTCTCTCTCTCTCTCTCTCTCTCTCTCTCTCTCTCTCTCTCTCTCTCTCTCTCTCTCTCTCTCTCTCTCTCTCTCTCTCTCTCTCTCTCTCTCTCTCTCTCTCTCTCTCTCTCTCTCTCTCTCTCTCTCTCTCTCTCTCTCTCTCTCTCTCTCTCTCTCTCTCTCTCTCTCTCTCTCTCTCTCTCTCTCTCTCTCTCTCTCTCTCTTCTCTCTCTCTCTTTCTATCTCTCTCTCTCTTATATATCTCTCTCTTTTCTCTCTCTCTCTCTCTCTCTTTTCTCTCTCTCTCTCTCTCTCTCTCTTTCTCTCTTTTCATCTCTTTTCTCTCGCTCTCTCTCCCCCTCCCCCTTTTACATTCACAAAGGTGAAATCCAGTTCTGACCAGCTTGCACATATCCTGTAATCACATCCATATATATATATATATATATATATATATATATATATATATATATATATATATATATATATATATATATATATATATATATATAGCCTGAACGGTTTCCAGGCATATAGGCAACTGAAAACTCACACCCCAGAAGTGCCTCGATCCCATACTGCCAGAAAGCAATGCAACTCATGTAAAGGATCCCTTAACCACTTGACCAACACGACCGGACAAAAGAGGATGGTAGCCGAGGCTAATTCCCCATCCACCCGCCGGCACTCTGTTGGTAATCTTGGGCATGGTATTTTATCAAATCACCTTATTCTTTGGGGCACACGTGAGGGACACAAATGCGAACAAGTCTGAACGGTCTCCAGGCATATAGGCAACTGGAAACTCACACCCCAGAAGTGACTCGAACCCTACACTGCCAGTAGAAGTGTTCCAGTATTCATATAATAGTTATAGAGTTCAGCATACCTCAGCCCAGGATGGCGAAAGTCAGTCAATATGGGACATTGTACAACATAATGTCCATTGCAGTGCATGTTTTCTCTTTCACAAAGTTGACACACGTGGTGTACTCGACACTTTCACAAAGTTGACACATGGTGTACTCGACACTTTCACAAAGTTGACACATGGTGTACTCGACACTTTCACAAAGTTGACACATGGTGTATTCAACACTTTCACAAAGTTGACACATGGTGTATTCAACACTTTCACAAAGTTGACACATGGTGTATTCAACACTTTCACAAAGTTGACACATGGTGTATTCAACACTTTCACAAAGTTGACACATGGTGTATTCAACACTTTCACAAAGTTGACACATGGTGTATTCAACACTTTCACAAAGTTGACACATGGTGTATTCAACACTTTCACAAAGTTGACACATGGTGTATTCAACACTTTCACAAAGTTGACACATGGTGTATTCAACACTTTCACAAAGTTGACACATGGTGTATTCAACACTTTCACAAAGTTGACACATGGTGTATTCAACACTTTCACAAAGTTGACACATGGTGTATTCAACACTTTCACAAAGCTGACACATGGTGTATTCAACACTTTCACAAAGTTGACACATGGTGTATTCAACACTTTCACAAAGTTGACACATTGTGTACTCGACACTTTCACAAAGTTGACACATTGTGTACTCGACACTTTCACAAAGTTGACACATTGTGTACTCGACACTTTCACAAAGTTGACACATTGTGTACTCGACACTTTCACAAAGTTGACACATTGTGTACTCGACACTTTCACAAAGTTGACACATTGTGTACTCGACACTTTCACAAAGTTGACACATTGTGTACTCGACACTTTCACAAAGTTGTCACATTGTGCACTCGACACTTTCACAAAGTTGACACATTGTGTACTCGACATTTGGGTTTTGAGAAAGCTGCCAGATACGTCTATATCCCAGGCGTATTCTGGCCACTATAACATCACATTGCCGGGTTCTTGTTCTATTAGTCCCATATGTGAATGGTTATCTTGAGATGATTTCGGGGCTTTAGTGTCCCCGCGGCCCGGTCCTCGACCAGGCCTCCACCCCCAGGAAGCAGCCCGTGACAGCTGACTAACACCCAGGTACCTATTTTACTGCTAGGTAACAGGGGCATAGGCTGAAAGAAACTGCCCATTGTTTCTCGCCGGCGCCCGGGATCGAACCCGGACCACAGGATCACGCGTCCAGTGTGCTGTCCGCTCGGCCGACCGGCTCCCTCCCTTATGTGAATGTCTCCTCGCGACATTTATCATAATATTTAATGCTACAACTTTCAGCTCTTGGTGAATCTGTTAGGTCAGTAAGATTTTCATCAGATATATGTTTATGTATTTTCTTTACCTGGTTGATACCTGGTTGATGGGGTTCTGGGAGTTCTTCTACTCCTCAAGCCCGGCCCGAGGCCAGGCTTGACTTGTGAGAGTTTGGTCCACCAGGCTGTTGCTTGGAGCGGCCCGCAGGCCCACATATACCTGGTTGATGGGGTTCTGGGAGTTCTTCTACTCCCAAAGCCCGGCCCGAGGCCAGGCTCGACTTGTGAGAGTTTGGTCCACTAGGCTGTTGCTTGGAGCGGCCCGCAGGCCCACATACCCACCACAGCCCGGTTGGTCCGGCACTCCTTGGAGGAATAAATCTAGTTTCCTCTTGAAGATGTCCACGGTTGTTCCGGCAATATTTCTTATGCTCGCTGGGAGGACGTTGAACAACCGCGGACCTCTGATGTTTATACAGTGTTCTCTGATTGTGCCTATGGCACCTCTGCTCTTCACTGGTTCTATTCTACATTTTCTTGTCACAGCTAATGAAACACATAATAATTTCTACTGCTGATCTACTACAGGCTGTCTTTGCCAGCATGTCAACAGTGTCATGGTTTGAGATGCCAACATGTGATGATAGTCAAAAGGAATTTAATTTAAAAGAATGTATCTTTACTAATTTAGGTATGTGTGTGTACTCGCCTAATTGTCCTTGCGGGGGTTAAGCTTTGGCTCTTTGGTGTGTGTGTGTGTGTGTGTTTCACCTAGTTGTTTTCACCTAGTTGTGTTTGCGGGGGTTGAGCTTTGCTCTTTCGGCCCGCCTCTCAACTGTCAATCAACTGTTTACTAACTTCACTAACTTTTTTTTTTTTCACACCACACACACACACACCCCAGGAAGCAGCCCGTGACAGCTGACTAACTCCCAGGTACCTATTTACTGCTAGGTAACAGGGGCATTCAGGGTGAAAGAAACTTTGCCCATTTGTTTCTGCCTCGTGCGGGAATCGAACCCGCGCCACAGAATTACGAGACCTGCGCGCTATCCACCAGGCTACGAGGCCCCCTCGTAGTGTGTGTGTGTGTGTGTGTGTGTGTGTGTGGTGTGTGTGTGTGGTGTGTGTGTGTGTGTGTGTGTGTGAATAAGTGAACAGTTAAAGAGAGCATCAGAGTGTAGCGGTAATTACTTACTCGATATGAATGATCTGTTGGTAAGTGAATTGTAAATGAGACAGATGGCCTAATTACGACTCCAAACCTGCCTCCTGTCCACCCTCCTGTCTACCAGCCTCCTTCCTGTCTACCACCCTCCTTCCTGTCTACCAGCCTCCTTCCTGTCCACCAGCCATCTTCCTGTCTACCAGCCTCCTTCCTGTCTACCACCCTCCTTCCTGTCTACCAGCCTCCTTCCTGTCCACCAGCCATCTTCCTGTCTACCAGCCTCCTTCCTGTCTACCAGCCTCCTTCCTGTCTACCAGCCTCCTTCCTGTCTACCAGCCTCCTTCCTGTCTACCAGCCTCCTTCCTGTCTACCAGCCTCCTTCCTGTCTACCAGCCTCCTTCCTGTCTACCAGCCTCCTTCCTGTCTACCAGCCTCCTTCCTGTCTACCAGCCTCCTTCCTGTCTACCAGCCTCCTTCCTGTCTACCAGCCTCCTTCCTGTCTACCAGCCTCCTTCCTGTCTACCAGCCTCCTTCCTGTCTACCAGCCTCCTTCCTGTCTACCAGCCTCCTTCCTGTCCACCAGCCTCCTTCCTGTCTACCAGCCTCCTTCCTGTCTACCAGCCTCCTTCCTGTCTACCAGCCTCCTTCCTGTCTACCAGCCTCCTTCCTGTCTACCATCCTCCTTCCTGTCTACCAGCCTCCTTCCTGTCTACCAGCCTCCTTCCTGTCTACCAGCCTCCTTCCTGTCTACCAGCCTCCTTCCTGTCTACCAGCCTCCTTCCTGTCTACCAGCCTCCTTCCTGTCTACCAGCCTCCTTCCTGTCTACCAGCCTCCTTCCTGTCTACCAGCCTCCTTCCTGTCTACCAGCCTCCTTCCTGTCTACCAGCCTCCTTCCTGTCTACCAGCCTCCTTCCTGTCCACCAGCCTCCTTCCTGTCCACCAGCCTCCTTCCTGTCCACCAGCCTCCTTCCTGTCCACCAGCCTCCTTCCTGTCCACCAGCCTCCTTCCTGTCTACCAGCCTCCTTCCTGTCCACCAGCCTCCTTCCTGTCCACCAGCCTCCTTCCTGTCCACCAGCCTCCTTCCTGTCCACCAGCCTCCTTCCTGTCCACCAGCCTCCTTCCTGTCCACCAGCCTCCTTCCTGTCTACCACCCACCTTCTTGTCTATCAGCCTCCTTCCTGTCTACCAGCCTCCTTCCTGTCCACCAGCTTCCTTCCTGTCCACCAATCATGGCCGCAGGGATGCTTGTGGTACTCCAAGACAAAGACTGTGGACACTGGGATCTCTGGTGACAGTAAACTGGTTTACCTCGGTCGTCCCATTGTGTTGCCCCAGTCTGTGCTCGGGCCGGCCACCCTGCAGGAGCCACGGCTACATTTGCTCAGGTTTGTGTCAACACTCCACCCGGCCCCAGACTGTAGTGGTGAGGCGGGCACTCCCGCCATAGCAACATGTACAACACTCCCCAATAGGAAGAAAACCCGCTGGGTTGTTCATCCTGTCACTTGTACCCAGACACAGCTGGGACTTGCTTAACTGTCTCAAGTGAACAGCTCCTCAAACAAAAAGATTAACATCTGTCAACCCTTAAAAGCTTACGTTATCTTGCGGGTGCAAAATGGGGAAAACTTAAGAACAGCATCAATATTTGACAAATAGTGTTTTCCTAACTCAAACAATGTGGGGTTTATTATTCTACACATATTCCTAATGTCTCTCAGGTGTTCACATTCACGTAGATAGTGGTCAAGGCGGTGTCCATCACTCTCACCACAGATTCTGCAACTTCGCTGATCAACTGTTGTTTCCATTCCATATCTCCATGGATATTTGTATCCAAGACGGATTCTCGCTATTACTGATTCTCTCCCTCGTCGTCCTCCTCTTTGGCCATAATGATTGGGATTGCCAGCTGCAACCATGTTGTTCCATCGTACAAATTCACTGGTTTGTTCTAGAAGTTTGCGTGTACTTAAACTGTAAAAGTTGCCCCTATGGGTGGTACGGGGTCGCGGTGAAGCAGGGTACCAAATGGTACTGGTAATTAGAGCGTCAAGTTGGTGTGTTTACCTAGAGGCTGAGTACGTCCCTGAGCACCCAGGGAAGCCCACGAGCAGCTCAATTGGATTACCAGATAAATCCATGGTGAGTGTGGATTAGACCTCAAGGTGGCCACAATATCCACGCCTTCCTCGAACCCGGACCACAATGGCCAGAGTTTGCACATACCACACGCCAGCATCCAGGCCTACCAGCCTCCCTCGAACCCGGACCACAATGGCCAGAGTTTGCACATACCACACGCCAGCATCCAGGCCTACCAGCCTCCCTCCCCCAGCACCCAGGCCTACCAGCCTCCCTCCCCCAGCACCCAGGCCTACCTGCCTCCCTCCCCCAGCATCCAGGCCTACCTGCCTCCCTCCCCCAGCACCCAGGCCTACCTGCCTCCCTCCCCCAGCACCCAGGCCTACCTGCCTCCCTCCCCCAGCACCCAGGCCTACCTGCCTCCCTCCCCCAGCACCCAGGCCTACCTGCCTCCCTCCCCCAGCACCCAGGCCTACCTGCCTCCCTCCCCCCTCCCTCCCCCAGCACCCAGGCCTACCTGCCTCCCTCCCCCAGCACCCAGGCCTACCTGCCTCCCTCCCCCAGCACCCAGGCCTACCTGCCTCCCTCCCCCAGCACCCAGGCCTACCTACCTCCCCTGGCACCCAGGCCTACCTACCTCCCTCCCCCAGCACCCAGGCCTCCCTGCCTCCCTCCCCCAGCACCCAGGCCTACCAGCCTCCCTCCCCCAGCATCCAGGCCTACCAGCCTCCCTCCCCCAGCATCCAGGCCTACCTGCCTCCCTCCCCCAGCACCCAGGCCTACCAGCCTCCCTCCCCCAGCACCCAGGCCCACTTGCCTCCCTCCCCCAGCACCCAGGCCTAGGTGCCTCCCTCCCCCAGCACCCAGGCCTACCTGCCTCCCTCCCCCAGCACCCAGGCCTACCTGCCTCCCTCCCCCAGCACCCAGGCCTACCTGCCTCCCTCCCCCAGCACCCAGGCCTACCTGCCTCCCTCCCCCAGCACCCAGGCCTACCTGCCTCCCTCCCCCAGCACCCAGGCCTACCTGCCTCCCTCCCCCAGTACCCAGGCCTACCAGCCTCCCTCCCCCAGCACCCAGGCCTACCAGCCTCCCTCCCCCAGCACCCAGGCCTACCAGCCTCCCTCCCCCAGCACCCAGGTCCACCTGCCTCCCTCCCCCAGTACCCAGGCCTACCAGCTTCCCTCCCCCAGCACCCAGGCGGGGAAAAGGCAGGTGGTATGTTGGCCACGGTTGCATACGCCGCTGATGACATCTGTTAGGTGTGGACTTCAGGAGACCGGTTCGGTGTGATACCACTGCTCAGGTCTTCGTCTGTCATTCCGGCTGATTACTGAAGGGTTTCATCTCCCATTCTGTACCTCGAGTTCACTTCCCTAAGTTCATTACTTTGCACTAACCTCAGTTAAACTCAATTAGCCATGTGTAACCATTCTTGCAGCTAGGCTAGGTCATGGTACAGATACTTATCATTTTCCTCCGAATCGTTATATATGCGTCTTCAGCATATATAACGCCATGTATAATTATGTATATGTGTTTATATACCTGGTATATTCATATACATGTATATAAGCTATACACCTACGAGGAAGGAGTTTAGTCCCTCTGGACGACAATATACATATATTAGTAAATAACTGCTAAATATGTGGCACCAAACTACCCCCCCCCCCATGGGGTGAGGCATGGGAGACCAACAGTGGGAGACGAGTTGAGGGATGACACCTTATTGACCCGGCTCCTGGCTAGTCGGGCTGGTCGGACTGGTCGGGCTGACTTTTCGGACTGGTCGGGCTGACTGGTCGGGCTAACTTGTCGGACTGGTCGGGCTAACTTGTCGGACTGGTCGGGCTAACTTGTCGGACTGGTCGGGCTAACTTGTCGGACTGGTCGGGCTAACGTGTCGGACTGGTCGGGCTAACTTGTCGGACTGGTCGGGCTAACTTGTCGGACTGGTCGGGCTAACTTGTCGGACTGGTCGGGCTAACTTGTCGGACTGGTCGGGCTAACTTGTCGGACTGGTCGGGCTAACTTGTCGGACTGGTCGGGCTAACTTGTCGGACTGGTCGGGCTAACTTGTCGGACTGGTCGGGCTAACTTGTCGGACTGGTCGGGCTAACTTGTCGGACTGGTCGGGCTAACTTGTCTGTTGTGTCGGGCTAACTTGTCGGACTGGTCGGGCTAACTTGTCGGACTGGTCGGGCTAACTTGTCGGACTGGTCGGGCTAACGTGTCGGGCTGGTCGGGCTAACGTGTCGGGCTGGTCGGGCTAACGTGTCGGACTGGTCGGGCTAACTTGTCGGACTGGTCGGGCTAACTTGTCGGACTGGTCGGGCTAACTTGTCGGACTGGTCGGGCTAACTTGTCGGACTGGTCGGGCTAACTTGTCGGACTGGTCGGGCTAACTTGTCGGACTGGTCGGGCTAACTTGTCGGACTGGTCGGGCTAACTTGTCGGACTGGTCGGGCTAACGTGTCGGACTGGTCGGGCTAACGTGTCGGACTGGTCGGGCTAACGTGTCGGGCTGGTCGGGCTAACTTGTCGGGCTGGTCGGGCTAACTTGTCGGACTGGTCGGGCTAACTTGTCGGACTGGTCGGGCTAACTTGTCGGACTGGTCGGGCTAACTTGTCGGACTGGTCGGGCTAACTTGTCGGACTGGTCGGGCTAACTTGTCGGACTGGTCGGGCTAACGTGTCGGACTGGTCGGGCTAACTTGTCGGACTGGTCGGGCTAACTTGTCGGACTGGTCGGGCTAACTTGTCGGACTGGTCGGGCTAACTTGTCGGGCTGGTCGGGCTAACTTGTCGGACTTGGCGACACAATCGGTCCAAGCACTAAGCACGGACTCGCTGAATGCTGTAGTGGCTCGATACTTGACTTCTTTATTTACTGAATAATTTATATATTTATTTAGTTATTTCTATATATTAGGTTATGTTGTATAATATTATATATTTAATGATTTGTTCTTGTGGTCGAGGGAGAGAGAGAGAGCCGGTGTTGTGAGTTGTGAGAGTAAGGTATGGTTGTAACAACTGCATATTGGTTGTGGGTTGTGGATCCCGTATTGTGTTGAAGAAGTTGACTTGTGTTTCTGGGTGTGTGTGTTGTGTTGTTGAGGAATGTGGTATAGTGTTAGTCTGTGTGTCTTACTAAAATTAATCCCAACTAGTCCGGCAAACATCACTATCAGCTATGCAGATGCCATCCTTGTACATACTAAAACCCACCGCGAAATGCAGTCTTAAATTGTGTACATACAGCTTGTGAGAGCCTTGGTCTTGTAATCAACGCTGCTAAAACTAAGGTATTTAGTAGACAAATTGGCAACCGCAAAAGTGGATCACGAAAACTTAAGACTTAAAATAGATAACATACCAATAGACTATGCCTCCTCTTTCAAATACCTTGGTGTCTCTGTCCCTTGTACCTCAACTGCAGTCAATAAGTTACATCAACAGTGTAGAGACAGACTCAAGGCTCTCAGAACTGTAGTCGGGTACAGCCCGAAATATGGTGTTAATATTAGAATAGCAAGAATGATGTATTTAACGTATATAAGGTCTCTGATAGACTATCATGCACCAGCTTTGGTCCTGCAGAATGGCAAAAGTATTGATAGACTGGAAAAAATGCAAAATGAAGTACTCAGAATTATACTTGGCTCTCCTATAACTACCAAAGTTCTCAACATGCGGAAAGAATTAAATATACTTAGCATTAGAGATAGAATATTTGAAATCAACCTTATGATGGGACTAAAGCTTCTGCGTGATAACAAAAACATTGTGTCAGTTGAACTGTTAGAACACATACGTAACGGAACTAGCGAGTCTAAATGGATTCAAAGAACAGCCACTCATTAAAATGATGGGACTGCACGATGTATATACAGATGAAAGAGTACAGCACTTCCTTCCACCCTGGCAGATAGTACCTTTTGACATCCTGACCCCTGCATACCCCACCAAGAAACTAATCACAAGCAACCCTCATGCTCAGCTTGCTGCTAAATTAAGCACCATAGAACACATTCACAATATACAAACTGAAAACAACATAGCACAGACCATATACACTGACGGATCACTCAATACAGCTACAGGGAGGGCAGGAAGTGCTGTTATTGCTCATCAGCCCGATGG